AAAAAAAAAAAAAAAAAAAAAGGACCAAGATGGCAAGTTGGAAGAGCCTATCCTAAAAAAGAATGCACATTGCTCTTTCTCTTGAAAGGCCAAGTGTCCAAAACTGCCAGAGAATAGTATAGCAAGAAGCTAAGAAAAAAATTCTGGCCAATTACTTAGCCTCTCTTTATCTCAGTCACCTCATCTGTAAAATGGAGATGAGAACAAAAGTTATCTCATAGCACTGTGGATCTTAAATATATTAGTACATATTAACTGTTTAGAAGACTATGAGGTGCAGAATAATGCTCTCTGCCCAACTGTGGAGAACACAGTATTAGACATGATTAATATTATAGGCTTACTTGTAATTTGAGAGAAATAAGAATACAAGCAAAAATAATACATCAAATAAGCTAGAACTGAGTTATAAAGTCTAAACATGTTCCTGTATCAGGTGAAAATATCTCCTGAGGGCTAAGGTAATCATGAGATCATTCACCATCTCCAGAGATACACAAGAAATCAGTAACATTCATTAGCTCTCTGAATGACACTGTAGGAAAAAAAAGGAAAAACCACCAAATGGCATTTTGTTTTTCAATTTTGTTACCATGTAAATGTATGTCCTATTTAATATACTAGTACAAATTAAACCAGGACTGCCAAAAATGTGTGTGTGTGTATGTGTGTTTCAGAGAACTAACTGCAGTGGACTTTCACTTTCTACATGACACTTCTTTAGCAAGGGTTTCTTTCTTTTTTCTTTCCTTCCTTCCCTCCTTCCTTTTTATTTTTTGTTGGTTGTGGGACTTGAACTCTGGGCCTAGGCACTGACCCTGAGCTCTTCAGCTCAAGGCTAGTGCTCTATCACTTGAGCCACAGCCCCATTTCCAGTTTTCTGAGTGGTTTATTTGAGTTAAGAGTCTCACAGACATTCCTGCCTGGGCTGTCTTTGAACCATGATCCTCAGATCTCAGCCTGAGTAGCTAAGATTACAGGCGTGCGCCACCCTGCATGGCTAGCAAGGGTTTCCTTACCTTGGCAGTACTAACTCTCTGGCCAAATAAGTCTTTGCTGTGAGACACACAGAAGGAGCTATTTCGCAAGGCGTCCATCTCTACCAGCTAGAGACTAGTAACACCCCCCACAGTGGAGTTATCACAGGTGTCACTAGACACTGCCAAATGACTTGGGTTGAGAACATCTACCTTAGTACCTTTCCTTATAAGTACACTGTATCACTACTGCCATCATCACAGCTCCCTGCAGTCTGAGCTGCAGGTGAATTCTCAACAATGTTGTCATGAAGTAGTGATAAGGTGTGCCTTAAGTAATTTATTACATATAGTTAGCATTACCAAAAGTTTTGAGTTATATATTTAAAAAAAAAATCAGGCCAGGCACCAGTGGTTCACACCTATAATCCCAACTACTCAGGGGGCTGAGGTCTCAAGGACAGAAAGTCCTTGAGACTCTTATCTCCAATTAACCAGCAGAAAACTGGAAGTAGCCCTGTAACTCAAGTGGTAGAGTGTTCGTCTTGAACTGAAGAGCTGAAGGACAGTGCCCAGGCCTAGACCACAAAAAAAAAAAAAAAAATACAGGACTGGGAATGTGGCTTGTGGTAGAGTGCTTGCCTTGCATGCAGGAAGCCCTGGGTTTGATTCCTCAGTACCACATAAACAGAAAAGGCCAGAAGCGGTGTGTGGCTCAAGTGGTAGAGTGCTAGCCTTGAGTGAAAGAAGCTCAGGGACAGTGCCCAGGCCCTGAGTTCAAGCCCCAGGACTAGCAAAAAGAAAAAGAAGAAAGAAAAACAAAGAATATTATCACAACAAGTTACACAGGATTCCAGATACTCACATACAATGAGACCAAAAGAGGGAAAGAATCACAGAGGTGCAATACCCAAGCATGTGTATATAAAATAAAACACAGCCAAGAGCCAGTGGCTCATGTCTGTAATCCTAGCTACTCAGGAAGCTGAGATATGAGGATCTCGGTTCAAAGCCAGCTCAGGCAGGAAAGTCCATGAGACTCTTATCTCCAATTAACCACCAGAAAACCGGAAATAGCACTGTGGCTCAAGTGGTAGAGCACTAGCCTTGAGCTGAAGAGTTCAGGGACAGTGCCCAGGCAGAGAGTTCAAGCTCCACGACTGACAAAAAATAAATAAAATAATACACACATTGAAATGAACTCCAAAGACATGGAAACAAAGGACCTTTGATTTTTTTTTTCTGATGACTCTGTATTCTTTTTTTTTTTTGGGGGGGGGGTCCAGTCGTGGGGTCTAAACTCTGGGCCTGGGTGCTGTCCCTCAGCTCTTCAGCTCAAGGCTAGCGCTCTACCACTTGAGCCGCAGCGCCACTTCCGGCTTTTTTCTTTTTGCTTATGTGGTGCTGAGGAATCGAACCCAGGGCCTCATGCATGCAAGGCAAGCGCTCTTCCACTGAGCCACCTTCCCAGCCCAACTCTGTATCATTTACCTTATATATGGTGTATTCACATGCACATCAGTGGGAAGGGAGGAGTGGTGGCACAAAATCAAGGGAAAAGGATAAAAAAGTACAGCAGTGGAACCCACCAGACATTGATGAAAGTGAATTATACAACTCGTGGGTGGAGATGGGAGAGAGGAATAGGAGAGAAATTAAGAAACAGATGCCACAGTGCAAACAGAAAATGTACTTATTACCTAACATATGTAAATGTCACCCTGCTGCACAGTACCTCTAAAACAATAAAGTAAATTAACAACAAAAAAAGTACTGTCCAGTGTGTCACCTATCATTATTATGGTTGAAGTAAAGTTTTGTAACAATGTACTGTATACCCAATAAGATATGTCAGAGGCATATGGACTACATGAAGGACTTTAATCATGTTTAATCAGTTGCCAAAAATTTGAAAAAAGAAAAAGTGTAAATATTACAACTGTACTTACTCATCCCTTTCCATCCAGAAACAACTTCTGGAGTAATACTGTCCAACTCTCGCCTAAAGTCATCCCGGGCTTGGACCACCAGCTCATGATACTGAGAGACAACCTTAGCCTCAGACTGAGCTGCTTGGACCTAGAAAATACAAGAGTTAAGCTGAGTAAAAAGTCCACATGCATACCAGGAAAAAAGAAATACAATGCTTTATTTCTTGATGGGAATGCGTAAATAACACAAACAAATCTGAAGCTCATTAAAAGGGGAAGTGTTGAGGAGTCAGGAGAACCAGGTCCTGGTGGCTCACAACTATAATCCTAGCTACTTCGGACATAAGATGTGAAGATTGAGGTTTGAAGCCAGTTCAGGTAGACAAATCTGAGATACTTATCTCCAATTAACCAACAAAAAAGCAGAACTGAAGATGTGGCTCAAGTAGTGGACTGCAAGCTGATGAATGAGAGGCCGTGAGTATAATCCCTAGTATGAGTAGAAGCACTAGTACCAACACAGGGGGAAAAAATAAAAAGAAAGAGGACAAAAGTTGATAGGGAATGGTGGTGAATATGTGCATTATAAGCATATATGAGAACATAATAATAAAATCCATTAAAAATTATTTTTGCTGGTACTAAGGCTTGAATCCTAAAACTTAAAACTCTCTTAAGTACTCTCCCTAAGCAAAAAAAAAAAAAAAAAAGGAAAAAAAGTTTTTATTTTTATTTTTTTGGACTGGGACTCAGGGCCTCGGTACTGTCCCTGAGCTCCTTCACTCAAGGCAAGCACTTTTACCACTTTGAGCCACAGTACCACTTCTGATTTTCTGGTAGTTAACTGGAGGTAAGAGTCTCATGATCTTTCCTGGATGGGCTGGCTTTGAACTGAGACTCTCAGATCTCAGCCTCCTGATTATTATTATTAACTAAGATTATAGGCATGAGCCACCAGTGCCTCACCTGAAAAAAAGTTTTTGTTAAAATTTTGGGGTACTAGGGTTCAAACTCAAAGCCTCAAGCAAAAAAAAAAAAGCCTCAAGCTTACTAGATACAATCCTTTTTTTTTTTTTTCCCCCGGTCGGTCATGGGGCTTGAACAACTCTCTTGGGCACTGTCCCTGTGTTCTTTAGCTCAAGGCAAGCGCTTGAGCCACAGCGCCACTTCTGGTTTCCTAGTGGTTTACTGAAGAGTCTCATGGACTTTCCTGCCCAGGCTGGCTTTGAACCATGATCCTCAAATCTCAGCCTCTAGAGTAGCTAGGAGTATAGGCGTGAGCCACCCTCACCCAGCCCTGAGCTTCTTTTGCTCAAGGCTAGCACTCTACCACTTGAGCCACAGCACCACTTCCAGCTTTTTCTGTTTATGTGGTGCTGAGGAATTGAACTCAGGGCTTCATGAATGCTGGGCAAGCACTCTACCACTAAGCCACATTCCCAGCCCTTTTTTTGCTTTAGTTTTTCTTCAGAGAGCATCTTGCGTTTTTGCCAAGCCACCTTCAGACTATGATCCTCCTACCTATAGCTCTCATTTAGCTAGAATCGTAAACATGCACTATCATGCCTTGTTTATTCAGTAAAATAGGATCCCACTAATATTTTTTTGCTCAGACTGTCTTTGAATAGTAATTCTCCAGATCTCCTACCCCAAGTAGCTGGGATTACAGACATGAGCCACCATGATTTCCCCCAAGGCATTTTTTAAGAACTAATATTCTTTGCTAGGAAAAAATGGGGAGATAATAGAGATCTTACTACTTTCCCAAATTCTTAAAAAGCTTTTGGCTGAACATATTTAAAAAATATAAGCCACATGCTGTAAGCCTACAGCTGTAATACTAGATACTCAGGAGACTGAGGTGTTAATATCACGGTCCAAGCCAGCCTGGACAGAATAGCCCATACCATTCTTATCCCCAATAAACTACTCAGAAAAACCTGCAAGTTGTAGCTCAAGTATTAGAACATTAGCCTTGAGCAAAAGCAACTCAGGGACAGCACCCAGGTTCTCCGTACAAACCCCAGGATTGGCATTAATAAACAAACAAATAAAAACATTATAAAGAATTGAGAAATGTACCTTCTTGACCATGTTATCCAAATCAACTATCATGTTGTGAAGTTTTCCCTCTGCAAGAGTTATATGAGTTTTGGCCCCAGCAACCTCTTCATTCTTTGCATTTTCAATTACACCTTTCATCTTCTCTAATTCTTCTCTGAAAACAAATAAAGCAAATATTTAATATAATTACTTATCAAGCTTATTAGAGGTGTGTGTGTGTGTGTGCCCGCGCGCGTGCATGCACATGCGCACGCACCACTGGTGCCCAGCTTTGATGCTTTTTGTTTTTTGGTCGTTCGTGGGGCTTAAACTCCAGGCATGGATGCTGTCTATGAGCAATTCAGCTCAAGGCTAGTGCTGTACCACTTTGAGCTACAGTCACTTCCAGTTTTCTGGTGGTTAACTGGAGATAAGAGTCTCACTGATTTCCTTGCCCAGGCTGGCTTTGAACCATGATCCTCAGATCTCAGCCTCCTTAGTAGCTAGGATTATAGGTGTGAGCCACTGGTATCTGGCCTTTCATGCTTTCTTAATGGCCAATAGGCAGTGAAATTTTTTCTCAACAACCGCATGAAAATCCCACTCAGCCATGAGCTAGCTATACCTCGTAAAGCAACTCAGAAGTAGCATGGGATATATACTTTAGAACAAGAGAGACTACATTAAACTTTTAGACCTAATGGGCTAGTCACCCTTGTATAAGGATAGTTATTCATGAGAAATATGTAGCACAGTGCCTACCACTACATGAGTACTAAAGAAATGTCAGCCTCCAAAGGGTCAGAATGATTCCCAAGCTGGGCACTGATGGCTCACGCATGAAATCGGGCTACTCAGGAAGCTGAGATCTGAGGCTCACAGTTCAAAGCCAGCCCAGGCAGGAAAGTCCTTAAGACTCTTATCTCCAATTAACCACCAAAAGAACCGGAAGTGACACTGTAGGTCAAGTGGTAGACAGCTTGCCTTGAGCTGAAGAGCTGAGGGACAGTGCTTAGGCCCAGAGGTCAAGCCCCACGGCTGACAAAAAGAAAAGGAAAAAAAAGAGAGAGAACCTAAGGAAGGCAAAGGCAAAGGCCAAAGAACTCACTGAGCAAATAAGTAACAGGGTCTCAGGAGCAGTCATAATTTGGAATATTTCGTAGATCAGATGAACTAAAGTATCCAGCCCTGCACAATGCAGTGATGTAAACATAATGATTTAAACTTCCTAAAAGATATGCTAGCCTTATTAGATGGCTTCTCTTAATCAATAATAAACATGTCAATATGGCAAAATTTAGAAAGACAATGTCCATCCATTTTGGTAGGAACCTTGTAGTATAATACAGGTTCTCATCCTCAGAGGCTGAGCGTGGTTTGAGTTTCTAGACTTGAACATAATTATAGCCAATTCCCAGGCATCAAGGTTGAGTAGGGATAAAGCTATATACTCAATACTTCGATCGTTAGGGCAAACAGATTTTGGTAGGAACCTTGTAGTATAATACAGGTTCTCATCCTCAGAGGCTGAGCGTGGTTTGAGTTTCTAGACTTGAACATAATTATAGCCAATTCCCAGGCATCAAGGTTGAGTAGGGATAAAGCTATATACTCAATACTTTGATCGTTAGGGCAAACAGATTGTCTTATTTTCTCTCTTCTGATAAAACTGTTCCATCTACCCCAGCTCTAAAATTAGAGCAAATGTAAATGTGTGGAAATATTACTTTAGTAACAATCCAAAGGAAACCTTACTTTTGTCTTAAGATCCTATATATCAATTTTTGCCAATTTCATTCTGGCTTAAACATGTTATACATCCTGTCCCTTTAAAACTTTTGTGTTTAATATGCCAACGCAGATCAATCACATATAGAGAACAAAACAAAGATTTATCTGCCTCTTCATTCTTTATATAGTATGAAGCCCAGCCCAAAGAAAATCACTAGGAGACCCTAATTACTTGTTAAAGTCCATGAGTAATTACTTGGCTTTGAGAAGAGCATCAGCAGCTTCATCTACTGCCTTTCTGCGTTCTTTCAATGCACCCTCCACTGTACGCCACTGAGCAGACTTCTTCTCGCTTGGAATCTAAACAAAAATTTTAATTATATCAACATGATTAATTATATAATCAACAGCTTAGATAAGATTAAATACTGAAATAAGTGACATTAAATTCAAAAGTAAAAGCTTCTATATAACATTTCTCCAGAGGAGAAACTTATAACCGAAGCTTTATAATCAACAACAACAAAGTCCATAACCTCCCATCAACTGCCCTTCCACAAAATGGAGGGGGTGGAAGCAGCTTTATTTTCCAATGTGTAAGCATTCAAGACTTTTTAAAATTAGATTCTCAAAGGAAAATATGGAGCAGAAAATGTAAAAACCACACTTTTTCTGAGTTGTCTGTGGATTTTAAGTCATTCTCAGTGAAGTACTAATATTTAAATTTTTCTTAATTGCAGGGCTGGCTACCAAAAGCATAGCTTAAGGGTAAGTAGAAGCACAGGTAACAGTTCATTCTAGCTACCACAGAGATGAGATTTGAGAACCAAGGTTCAAAGCCAGCCTGGGCAGACAAATCCTCAAGATTTTTTTTTTTTGGATGGGGCCTGGGTGCTGTCCCTCAGCTCTTCAGCTCAAGGCTAGTGCTCTACCACTTGAGCCACAGTGCCGCTTCCGGCTTTTTTCTTTTTGCTTATGTGGTGCTAAGGAATTGAACCCAGGACCTCATCCATGCAAGGCAGGCGCTCTACCACTGAGCCACCTTCCCAGCCCATCCTTAAGATTTTTATCTCCAATTAACCAGCAAAAAGTAGAATACAAGCTCAAGTGGTAGAATATAAGCTGCAAGCAAAAAAGCCATACAAGAGCATAAGATCCTAAGTTCAAGCCCTAGTACTGTGCCATATAAAGTAGAAAGTTTATATAGTAGTTATAAAGTAGAAAGTTCATATGCTCATTATTACTCCAAAAGGTTATTCCCAAAGATGTCATTTCCTAATTCATAAAGTATAAATCAACTTTTTGAAGTCATCTTTGAGTGAATTGTACATTGTGATATATATAATATATATACTTTAAAAAAAAAAAAGACTGAGCCAGAGGCATAGCTCAGTGATGAGTCGCTGCTTAGCAAACTCAAGACCCTAAGTTCAAACCCTGGTACTACAAAAATAAATAAAAATTACAAAAAAATAGAGTGCAGGGGGCTGGAAATGTGATTTAGTGGTAGAGTGCTTGCCCAGCATGCATGAAGTCCTCAGTACCACATAAACAGAAAAAGCCAGAAGTGGTAGAGTGCTAGCCTTGAGCAAAAGAAGCTCAGGGACAGCACCCAGGCCCCAAGTTCAAGACCCAGGACTGGCAAAAAAAAAAAGAGTGCAAATGTCAATAATTTATTAGGAGGCAAAATGTGCCTTCCTTGTTGAAGGCACTCCTGTTTACAGAGGTCCTAGAGGATACAACTCATTCAGAGTCAAGTTCAACTATTTGTAAATACTACTTTGAAAAGCACTTAGCTTTGTATTATAGATCCCAAGTGTACCTGAAACTTCTTTTACTAGAAACAGCAGTTGGAATCCTTTTTTCTATATGCCTGGGAAATACAAGACACACTTTATTCTGCTGATATTCCTTTTTATCATATGTGAAAATCTGTCTAAGCAGACATGGTAGCACAAGCTGAGGCAGGAAGACAGTAAGTTGGAGACCCACCTGGCTACACAGCAACTCTGTCTCAAAACACACAATAAAGAATGAAAGTATTTTCTTATTACTTGTGACATTAGGTAACACTCTCTAATTCTATTGAACTTGTATTATAAGGTGTCCCTTAGTAGTAAAATCTTAGATGCAATAGATTTTTCATGGTCTAATCCATATGCTTGACACATTATATGTTCATCGGAAAGAGAGTATACCCTAAATACTACAAAATAGAATCACAATATTGAAAGCTTCCAATTGCTATACTTTTTTTTTTTGGGGGGGGGAACCAAGGCCTGGGCCCTGTCCATCAGCTTTTTTGCTCAAGGCTAATGCTCTACCACAGCTCCATATCCAGCTTTTTGGGAAGTTAATTAGAGATAAAAGTCTCATGTTCTTTCCTGCCTACAGACTGACTAGCTTCAAACCCTGATCCTCAGATCTCAGCCTCTTGATTAGCTAGGATTACAGGTGTAGACACTGGTGCCCAGCCCAGTTGCTGTACTTTTGAAGCTGGTTTAGATTCAGCTTCCTATAATATCATGGTACTTGCAGTCTTCCTGAACCTGTGTAACAGGCATAGTAAATACTTTGCGTGTTCTTCTTTGTTGACTGAGCTCCTAATATTTACATCTCCTTGAATTTCAAATAAAATGGAATTTTCAGTTGTTTTAAAAGGCTATCATTTCCAGCAGTTAAGGTCAGTGGGTATAGATTAGAAAAAATGCAAAGCATGTTTAAAAACATTTATAAAAACAATGTAGTTATGGCAGCAAGATAACTACTAATCATGCATGTATGCATGATCTTTGCCCTTAATACTTATAGGTTACTTATTTTACTTTTAAGAAAACTTCCTGTTGAGATATTTACATATACTGAATTAACAAATAAAATTTAAAATAAAGTCATTGAATTCTAGTATTACCTTTAGAAATCAAAATTGTTACTTTATTCTATGAGGTGTTTAAGATAAACCAATAATAAGCATATATATTTAATTGAAAATAGACGGTGCCTGGGGCATTTACGCTGTCTCAATATCATTTTTTAAAATTTCATGTCAACCTCAAAAAAAGAAGAAATAGTTGGCAATTTCAAAACAACAAAGAAGTAACAACTAATATATACAAACACTCCCAAAGTATAAAAACAAATCTAATAATACTCTTATAGGTGTTATGAGATTTTTTTTTAAAGGCAGCATAACAAAATTCATTTTAAAAACATTTTTAAAAAAGCTTTTCTGTTTTCTGAAGACAAATGCTTTAGATTGTCCTTTTTCGTGAAAAAAAAAAAAACCCTGGAAGAAATCTGAGTATTAGAAATCCGTGTATTTTAGAGGCCCCATAACCAATCTCTCTACCTGACTCACCTCAGAGTTGTCCATGGCTGCTTTTAGTATGTTGGCATGTGCATTGACAGCCTGGACAGCAGCATTCTGGGCTGCAATAGCCTGCTGAGTGATGGAAGCAGTTTGGCTCAGAGCATCTTGTAAGCTCTTGGCTAGAGCTGAGGAAACAATAATAAAGGATAGTAAAATACTGATAGCAACTGAATCTGGATGGTGAATCTATCAGGGTTTATTATACTTTTTTTTGCTTTTATAAATACCTGTGAGTTTTTTTCCAAAGTAAAAAGTTTGGGCTTAAGGAAAAAAATTACCTAAAGAAGGCAAGAATGTTTCAAATGGAAGAAACAAGGTTAGATATTCTAGAAGCTATAAATATACAATAACTACCAACTTTTTTGTTTAAAAAGTCATACAGACTCACCAGGAAAAAAAGGGCACATTTTCAACAGCTCAGGAAGAAGGAAAACCTATAGCAAAATCTTGTTATAGCCAGGGTACAAGAAAATAACAGACAAGCCGGGCGCTGGTGGCTCACGCCTGTAATCCTAGCTACTCAGGAGGCTGAGATCTGAGGATCACGGTTCAAAGCCAGCCCGGGCAGGAGAGACCGTGAGACTCCTATCTCCAATAAACCACCAGAAAACCGGAAGTGGCGCTGTAGCTCAAGTAGTAGAGCGCTCGCCTTGAGCTGAAGAGCCGAGGGACAGCACCCAGGCCCAGAGTTCAAGCCAAAAAAAAAAAAAAAATAACAGACGAGAAAAAAGGCAAACAAGAAAATATGCAAATAAAAAAGTCAGTAACAGCTTGGAATGGATAGTTTACACAAATAACTCAAACCTATTATGATCACATAGAAATTCCTATATGCTCCTTCAAAAATACAAAAAGGAAATTTCAAGATTTGTGTTAAGTGGAACAAAGGATGATTTGGGATGAAAATGGAGAAATAATTGAAGACCAATGAGAATATGATGAGTAACAATCAGAAATCCTAAGAATATGTTAGGTATGTAGTATAAAAATAAAAAGTGCTCTGAGCACAAGCCTAAGCTAGAAGTGAACAAACAAAAGAACCTGCTGAACCACATGTGGCACCTCTGCAACCTAGATAATAGGAAAGAACTGATAATGACCAAGTATCAAGAAACTGAAGTCAGACTGAAGTGCAACTTAAAGGTGTATAAAGAGAGCAAGAGTAAAGGGAGAGTAAATACTACACTTGGCTTTTATGACAGGCTTGTGTTAATGGGGGATATCACAGTATACAGCCTTTTCCTGGTGCTCTGATTCTGGCTAAGTCATATGCATACATGTATTTTTTTTCAATATTTCTGAGGCACAAGTCAAGATCAAGAAACTTTTTCACTTTGCCCAAAATAAAAAGAAAAACTGGGCAAAATAACAAAACAGCAGATAAAGCAATAGACATCTTCATCTCAAATTTACAATTTCACATCTTAATTCAGGAGTTAAGATGTAACATGGTAGAAAGTTTGCCTAGTTTATACAAGGTCTTAGATTCAACCCCTAGTACCATAAAGAAATTAAAACAAGCAACTCAAGTGTCCAGCAAAAAGCTATATACTTCCTTTTGAGATATAAGAATATGGTGGTACGGTATATCATATGTCCCCCTTAAGAAAGAAAACACCTATCTATTATTATTTTGGGCGTGGTATTAGGGATTGAACTTGAGCCCAACTTCAAACCTTTTCTATTATCTTTTTTTTAATTATCAAAAATCCCACCAGGCACTGGTAATCACGCCTGTAATACTAGCTACTCAGGAGGCTGAGATCTGAAGATCACAGTTCAAAGTCAACCTGGGCAGGAAAAGTCCACAAGACTCTTATCTCGAAAAAACCACTCAGAAAACTGGAGATGGCACTGTGGCTCAAGTGGTAGAGGGCTAGCCTTGACCTGAAGAGCTGAGGGACAGTGCCCAGGCCCAGATTTCATGCCCCACATAATAAAATTAAGATTTTTGGCTAGCCTGGCTAACATTTATATGCAACTGCAGGAGATGAGGTAGAAGAATCAAGAGTTCAAGGCCAGCCTTGGTTACAGAGTAAGACCCTCTCTCAAACAACAACAAAATAAAAAAAAAACTTAAAAAGGCATATGCTTGGTAGCCAAACATCAGCAACATAAAGAACACTCTTTCCCCCACCAATTTCAAATAAGAGTTTCAGATAATAATGGGAGTCCAGAAGCTGGGTATAAGACACTATGACTCTCACAAAAATTTTTACCAGTTTACTATGCTGAAACGTAACTAATTTCTGTTCCCCAGAATATAAGAATCATCAGCACTAGTAACAAATAATACAAATAAAACAAATGGAGAAATAAGACACTTCTTATTTGGAATGTTCACCAACTATACCCTAAGAATAGTCCTTGTCATCTGGATGAAAGTAGTTTACGTGGGAACACAAATGATGGGATGAAAGTGGGGAATGAAGCAGTAACACTAAGAAAATAAACTACAACTAGCTAGTAGATGACAAACTTCTACTGATGGTTTAAGAGAGCAATTGAGAGATGACTCCAGGCACTTAAAAAGCTGTTTGATTTACATACTCTCAATCATAACTTGCTCTTGTTTGTCCTGTTCTGCAAGGCGAGCTGCAACTTCTTCAGGTGGTCGCTCCCTTACAGTTGGGGATGCTTCCTCTTGCAGCAGAAGTAAATAAGAGGAAATCAAATTTCAGCATAGAATTTTACAGCTAATGTATACAAACCAGTTACATTAACCAAAGGCATTCTGGTGATATGGATTGCAAAAAAACACATCATCACTCTTAAATGATTCCAAAATGAAGAAATAAGGAATTAGCAATTCTCTTCTCTTCCCCAAACGATTTATTCAGACTTAAGAATTTAAGAATTTTCCAAAGCAAGTCTAAAGACTTGATGCAAGGATAAATGTATACTTACAGTGTGTAGGTGCTGTGTAGCATTAAATAATTCTGGTAAGAATATCATCTATAATACAACGAGCATAAATAATTAAACTACCTGAAATTTCAGATGGGGGTTTTCCTCCAATTTCAGGCCCATCAGATTTTACAGAGTCCTCATGCTGAACGGCAGGGGCTGGGACGGAAAGTGTATCACCTGCTGCAGAAATAACTTGAGCTGCCTCTGTAGATGCTATAAATACATGTTACTTGTGGTATTTATCATTTCCTGGGTTAATGGAAAACACACAGGAATCTACAACTACTTTTCACTTTACATCTGACTACTTAAAAACAAATGCTTCTTGCCAGGCACCAGTGGCTCATGCCTGTAATCCTAGTAAGCACTCAAAATGCTGAGATCTGAGGATCACGGTTTAAAGTCAGCCCAGGCAGGAAAAGTCCATGAGATTCTTATCTATAATTAACAATCAAAGAGCAGAAAATGAAGCTGTGGCTCAAGTGGTAGAGCACTTGAGCAAAAAAGCTCAGAGATAGTGCCTAGTCTCTGAGTTTAATCTCCAAGACTAGCACCCCCCCCCCAAAAAAAAAATCTAATGCCACTTGCTTAAATAACAGCCATCCCAGGCAGGAAAAGTCCGTGAGATTCTTATCTCCAATAAACTACTCAGAAAAAGGCAGAAGTAGCACTGTGGCTCAAGTGATAGAGCACTAGCCTTGAGCTAGATGCTCAGGGAGAGTGCCAAGGCCCAGAATTCAATCCCCAGGACCAGCAAAAAAAAAAAATAAATAATAATAATAATAATACATAAGCAGCAACACTGTCTACCACATGACAAGGGTGGAGAAAGTCCAAGGCAAAGAAGCCTTGTCAACACTCATCGTTTTTTACCCTCCTCATCCCAGGAAAGGCATCTGGTGACTGTACTAATAATCTTTTACAAGAGTAGACATCAGATTTGAATAACATGGAAAATGAATGACAAGGGGAGAAAAAGAGCCTATATAAAGCAGACCAAAAAAGGAACTAAAGAAAGAGTATTTTTAATAACTGTTGAAGTGTCATAGAGATGAAGGAAGAAGTTTAAGCAGAAAGACAATAGCTCCAAACAAAGAAAACACAATAGAGACAGTGTGAAAAACAGAACATAGTTTGTAAAGTCACTTCAGAAATGACAATTTTAAAGAAAGGAAATTTTAAAGAAAGTTTTAAAAAGATCAAGGTCTTGCAAGTATATAAACAAAAATATTGATGAAAGAGAAAAGAACTTTAAAGATGAAATGAGGGAGCAATAAAATAGGACACAAAAGTTATTTCAGAAAACTAAAGATCTTGTTTAAGAAATAAAATTAGATTTTACTCACAAAACTCAATACTTAACTGGCTTTCCAGACTCTATTGTGGGTTCCTATCTGCCCACAATAGCCAGAGTAATCATATTACAGTAAGTTTCAGATATCAGTCCCTGGGCTCAGCACACTCTAGAGACAGCCCATCCCACTCCCTATATAAACCCAAATGGCTTCCGAGAACCTCTACAATAGGCTTTCTGCTCTGTCAGTCACATTTGCTACTGCATTCTCCCAGTTTCACTCCAGCCTCATTTATTCCTTTGTTTATTCCTTGAACCAACCTGCTATCTGGGGTGCTATTTTCACCAGCCTTTTATATAAAATACTCCCTTCTCTTTTTAGTCTTTGCTTAAATAATTCTTTCCAGTTGACGATTCCTTACCCACTCCATTGAAAATTGCAACATTCCCTCCCACAGTATTCTATATGTTAATTATTTACTTATATATGATCCCCTTCCATTCAATCCACCAAGAAATGTTAGCAGTTAAAAAAAAAAAAAAAGGCAGAGCCAAGTAGCTGGTGGCTCACACCTATAATCCTACTCAGGCATCTGAGATCTGAGAACCATGATTCAAAGTAGCCTAGGAAGGAAAGTCTGTAAGATTCTTTTTGTTTTGGTTTTTGTTTTTTTTTGCTGGATGTGGGCTTGAACTGAGCCAGGGCACTGTCCCACAGCTCTTCAGCTCAAGGCTAGTGCTGTACCACTTTGAACCAAGTCACTTCCGGTTTTCTGGTGGTTTATTGGAGATAGGAGTTTCATGGACTTTCCTGCCCAGGCTGGCTTGGAACTCAGCCTTAGTAGCTAGGATTACAGGTGAGCTGGCTTTGAACTCAGCCTCCTTAGTAGCTAGGATTACAGGCAGGAGCCACCCGCCTGTGAGCTTGGCTGTGAGATTCTTATCTCTCCAATTAACCACAAGAAAGTTGGAAGTGGTGGGGCTGGGAAGGTGGCTCAGTGGTAGAGTGCTTGCCTTGCAATGCATGAGGCCCTGGGTTCAATTCCGCAGCACCACATAAGCAAAAAGAAAAAAGCCGGAAGTGGTGCTGTGGCTCAAGTGGTACAGCGCTAGCCTTGAGCTGAAGAGCTGAGGGACAGCGCCCAGGCCCAGAGTTCAGGCCCCACAACCGGACCCCCCCCAAAAAAAATTGGAAGTGGTACTCTGGCTGGAAGTGGCAAAGCTTTAGCCTTGAGTGAAAAAAGCTTAAGGACAGACCTTGTATTCAACTCTACCACTGATGGAGAGAGGGAGAGGGGGAGGATGAGTGCTGATGAGTCATTACTGTAATCCTAGCAATTTAGGAGGCTGAGATCTAAGGATCACAATTCAAAGCCAGCCACAGCAAGTCAGCAAGACTCTTATTTCCCATATACCACTAAAAAAAAAAAAAAAAAAACAGAAGTGTAGCTGTGGTTCAAGTTGTGGCTCAAGTGGTAGAGTGCTAGCCTTGAGCTGAAGAGCTGAGGGACAGTGCCCAGGTTCAGAGTTCAGGCCCCATGACCAAACCCCCCCCAAAAAAAAATCTGTAGGGGCCATGCGTCGATGGCTCATGCCTGTAATCCTAGCTACCTAGGAGGCTGAGATCTGAGGATCTCAGTTCAAAGCCAGCCTGGGCAGGAAACTCCTTGAGACTCCTATCTCCAATAAACCACTCAGAAACCAGAAGTGCGTTGTGGCTTAAGTGGTAGAGGGCTAGCCTTGAGCTGAAGAGCTGAGGGACAGTGCCCAGGCCCAGAGTTCAAGCTCCACAACCAAAAAAATCTGCAGGGGCTATCAAGACACATTTATCACTAAGAAAGAAAGGGAAGAAAGGGGGAGGAAATGAGAAAAGAGGGTAACTCTTAAAATCCAAACAGGAGAAAAGTTAAGAATCAGGGAAGAAAAAAGGGACAAAAAGGAAAATTAAAAGTTTGTAACCTTATCTATTCAAAAGAAAGCCCTATATCATGCCCTACTGTACCCCTGAAAGGATAGGTAAGATGGGGACCGATGGACCATCCCATTAACAGTATGTATACGAATTAAAACTTTTATCTTAAATTTTAAAAGAATGAGTACCTGACGTTGGAGTTTCTTCCTTCTGTTTTTGGAGTTGTGAAGCAGGCTGTTCAGAGTCCTTCTTTTCCTCTGATTCACTAGAGATTTTTAGTGGACCAGATTGAATCTTAGAAATGAAAATATTTAACATTTAGAATATAATACTGTTTTTGTAAATGGTAACATATAGTAATATTTTCAAAAGTCTAGTCTTTCAGGTTTTCAATATAAAGTTATCATTATTTTGTAATATTTTATTAATCATAACAGAAGCCACTTTTTTTTTTTCCATTTTTTGGTGCCAGACCTGGGGTTTAAACTCAAGGCTAGCACTCTATCACTTGTGATACAACTCTACTTCTGGCTTTTTTGGTATTTAGTTGGAGATAAGTCTTGTGGGCTGTCTTGCCACTGCTGGCTTCAAAACTCGATCCTCAGATCTCAGCTTCCTGAGTAACCAGGATTAGAGGAATGAGCCCCCAGCACCCAGCAACCATCATTATTTGTAAAAACTGTGATCCAAAGCTAGTTGGCTCATACCTATACCCTAGCCTGTATCTTTAGGAAGATGAGATCTGAGGATCCATGTTCAAGGCCAACCCAGGCAGGAAAGGTCATGAGACTCTTATCTCCAATTAACCACATAAAAACCGGAAGTAAAGTTGTAGCTCCAGTGGTAGAGCACTGTCCCTGAGCAAAAATGCTCAGCATTTTTGCTCAGGGACAGTGCCCAGGCCTTGATTTCAAGCCCCAGAACTGGCACACACAAGCACGCACACATATGCAAAAATTGGGAGTCCAAAGGTTTCATTCCAAAGGACTTAGGCATATTTCATATTTTAGCACTCTTAAAGCACATAATATATGACCTCCTTTAAACACCATTCCTTGTACATATACAACATTTAAAAGGCTATATCTATTTTTTAATTGAATTATGGTGTCTTCTATATAACTGATGAGGGTTTCTATGCAGAGAAATGGCTGCAGAGGTGAATGTGAGATTGTCAAGGGTACTGAAAGTCAATCCAAGAACTAGTGAAGTCTATAAACCACAGCAATATAAAGGAACCCAAATAACAAGTTCCCAGGCTGACATTTCACCTTCCATACCTTCACTTTCCTTATTCTGTGTATGAAGCAATCTTTAAAGTCTCTAATTTTTACCTCTGTGTTTTAACAACAGAAAATGTTTGAAAGTTCCTAATAGCTGTATCATATAAACATAATAGTGCTAATTTTATAATATTCTCTTGGTACTGATGTGAAGAGGATCTACATTCTTTTAGGAGGAGATATCTGATGATGGAGACGAGAAGATTGGAAAGAGTGTATATATAGGGAGTAAGTTTAGTTGAGAAGATAATTCGGATATCAAGTGAAAAAGGCCAGGGCAGGGTCGGTGATAATGCAAGAAAGAGAGTAAATATTAGAGTAAACAAAACAGGAAAGCTAATAAAATATAAGCAACTACAAATAATCTAAGAACCCTAACCTAGCAACCTGACGACTTGGTACTAAATACAGCAACAACAAAAATCAAGAGGCTGGAAGTTTAGCTCAAATGCACAACCTATGGAAAGAATACGCAAGGTTTTATGTATAGTCTAGACAATGCTGAATTAGTGCCATGGAAATATTCTCCAAGTAGCTAAAGTGGAGTGAACAGATGCTAAGTCTACCTATAGAGGGAGAAATCATTTAAAAAAATGAAAAGTCATGTTGAGAAAGAAAAAAACATTACTCTGAACTTTTCAGCCTGATTTCATGCTCCGAGGACTGCTTCCAGCTATTCCTCTTGGATAATAAAGCTTAAAATAGACTTAGGTTTTAGAATAAATGCACAAGATTCTGACTTAACTATTACAGCTTCAAAACGGTCTTCCCTGAGTAAAAACAGTTTAAAGTTTTTATGAAAGAATAAATGGTGCAGAAAAGCAGCCAGAAACATTTTGAGTAAGTATTATTGGTATAAATAAAATTATTGGTATAAATAAATTAAAGAACACCGTTTTCACAAATACCACCTCTGTGACAGGATTGGTCTGTAGACCACATTAGATATTGGAGAATGGAAGCCCAGTTTCTTTTTGGGGGGGGGGGTGGTAGCAGTGGCAATGATGGTACTGGAACTTGCACTCAAGGTCATATGCTTGCTAGGCTTACTATACCACTTAAGCCACACCTGTAGCTTTTTGTGCTTTAATTATTTCTAAGGTAATATCACAGCCAGCCTTGGAACACAATCTTCCTACCTATGCCTTCCACACAGATGAGATCACAGAAGTATACCACCAAGCTCAGCTTACTGCCAGTCTTTCTCTATGGAGAAGCTAGATTAGAGGTATGAGCCACTACAGCTGGCCAAGTCCATATAGTTTCTAAGAAATAGTTCAACAGCATGTCCAGCCTCACGATACAAAGAAATGTCTTAATACCAAATAGTCAAAAGCCCATGCTCTTGTGTGTCCAAGTATATATAAACAAGATTAGATAGATAGAAAGAGAGATGACAGAAAGACAGCCAGATACAGAGTTGTTGTTATTTAAAGAAACTGTGTTTGAATGGAGAAATACTTAAGATACCTTTTCAAAGTTGAGCTGGTTAGGGAGAAAGGGCAAAGCTCTGAAGAACATTCACGAAGTTCCGGGAATATTGGAAGACAAAATCAAACAACATGTAGCTAAAAATTCTGACGGCTTTATGGTCTAAAAGGAGCTATAACTAACCATAACTTTGGGTTCTATACCATGACCATTCTATATCTACAGTTATGTTTTTAGTGTCCTAAGTGAGAGCTTTTTAGCTGCAACTGTATGGTTGATATAACTCTCTGCTACTCAGTCTACAAGGCAACCAGCTATCCCAACATGTCTCATCCACTTACCTCTTTGTGAAATGCACTTATTTTGTATGTTGTATACACTAACAGAGCATATATGGAATGATCACACCTGTACAGATTACAGAGAACAAATATACATCTGGCAAGGTGCACTTAACTGTACATGAATAATAGTATCAAAATGAAAAGAGTTTGCTTTTAAAAGTATTCTTAGGATAAACTGAAATATTGCTTAAAACTTACTGGCTTCGTTGGCAATGGGACATTGTAAGGTACAGAACCAAGAAACATGTCAAAAAGTTTGTCTGAGTAAGGTATGGTTTTCTCAACACTTTCCCGGAAATGAGAATCCCATTTGGCATATAGGATAGTGCCACCAATACCTCCACCAACAAACAAAACGCCAGCTCCAGCAATTCTGCCTGGAGTCAACCTAAGGGAAAGAAATAGGAAACACAGTATTTACTCAGCTACCCAATATCTACTTTCCTAGACCAATGAAAACGCCCAAAGACTTCTAACAAAGCTTTACTTCTCTAGCACTGTTTTGCTACCATCGTTGCACATTACTACTTTTCTCTTATTGACTATTTTTATTTTATTTTTTGCTGGTCCTGGGGCTTGAACTCTGGGCCCGGGAGCTATCCCTCAGCTCTTCAGTTCAAGGCTAACACTACCAACTTGAGCCACAGCACCACTTCCAGTTTTCTGGAGATAGTCTTGGTGATAAGAGTCTCACACGGGCTGGGAAGTTGGCTCAGTGGTAGAGCGCTTGCCTTGCATGCATGAGGCCCTGGGTTCAATTCCTCAGCACCACATAAGCAAAAAGAAAAAAGCCGAAAGTGGCGCTATGGCTCAAGAGGTAGAGTGTTAGTATTGAGCAAAAGCTCAGGGACAGTTCCTAGGCCCTGAGTTCAAGCCCCCGGACTGGCAAAAAAGAAAAAGAAAAAAAAAGTATCAGCTATAACTTGAAAACTACTTTTTTTTTGTCGGTTATGGGGCCTGAACTCTGGGCCTGGGCACTGTCCCTCAGCTCTTCAGCTCAAGGCTAGCACTCTACCACTTGAGCCATAGTGCCACTTCTGGCTTTTTTTATCTTATGTGGTACTGAGGAATCAAACCCAGGGCCTCATGCATCCAAGGCAAGTACTCTACCACTAAGACAACTTCCCAGCCCTGAAAACTACTTTTTGAACTTACAATTGCAATTCTAGATTTAAATCTGCTAGAAGATTGCAGCCTGAAGTGGGGATGGAAGTGCCATGGATGCCATCTAATTACCGTAGAGCCAAAAGGAACGTCATTAACAAGCTTTTACCTACAAATAATGTAACAAAAGGGACCCAAAAATATTACAGTAAAGTATTTGTAAAGTACATACTAGCATGTAGTCTTTCTTATCTGAGGTGTGTGTTTGTCTGTGTATACCTCACGGGATGCCTGAAACCACCATACATAATACCAGACCCAATATATGCCGTGTTTTATGTAGACAGACACACACACACCTATGACAAACTCTATGAGTTAGGCACAGCAAGGGGTTAAAAACAACAACAATAAAATAAACGGGGCTGGGAAAGTAGCTCAGTGGTAGAGTGCTTGCCTAACATGCATGAGGCCCTAGGTTCGATTCCTCAGCACCACATAAGCAGAAAAAAAAGCTGGAAGTTGGCGCCATGGCTCAAGTGGTAAAGTGCTGAGGGACAGCACCCAGGCCCAGAGTTCAAGCCCAAAAAAATAATTAACTAATTAATAATAATAAGACAATTAGAATTGGAGGGTGTGGCTCAAGCAACAGAGAATTGGCTTAGCAAATTCAAGGCTGTGAGTTCAATCCTCAGTACCCAAAAAACGGGGGAGAAAACTAAAATAGGTTATAACAATATACTCTAATAGATTTGATGTGATTCCATAAGTCAGGTTATGAGTACAATGCACCTTGATCAATGTCACCCCTTCCATGTTCTACCTCATTTTCCCCTTCCCCTTCTTTCTCACAAAATACCTTATTGCAATATACTTTCTCTTCTCATGACAATGAGGCCATACTGCTACAAGCTGCCATGAATGAATAAAATTATGGATAAGGGAAGAGTGAAAGGTTCTAAGCACATATTCTCTTTTTTCTATTCTCTTTCTCCTTCCCCTCCCCCAAGCCCTCTCACACACAAAAACAAATACAATCTTAGCAGTACATAGTAAAAGTTAATTCCAGTGGGACAAATTACATACCCAGAACTCCTTGAAGTAGAGTATCTACGAAATGGACGCAATGGACGGAAGACAAATTTCCCACAGAGACAACTCTATAGAAGGAAGAGAAAACATTACAACAGATACAGTTAAATGAACCTGGGAGTTTTTTAGGGCTGATAATGAAGAAATAATACTTTTATTACAGATACCTTTATTAAACAAAAATTTATTTTATTTTCAGAAGTCAGTTTACCAAGAAGCACATTTATAGACCCCTTTTTATTTTGAGTCAAGACCAGAACACAAACCTAGTACTTTACACTTTTGTTCATTGGCTAAGACTCTACCAACTGTACCATGCCTCCAACCCCACGTTTATAGATTCTTAAAAAAAAACTGGGGGCTGGGAAGGTGGCTCAGTGGTAGAATGCTTGCCCTGCATGCATGAGGCCCTGGGTTCATTTCCTCAGCACCACATAAACAGAAAACGCCAGAAGTGGCACTGTGGCTCAAGTGGTAGAATGCTAGCCTTCAGCTTAAGAGCTAGGGGACAGTTCCCAGGCCCAGAGTTCAAGCCCCACAACTGACCAAATAAAAAAAACTTGTGATGCTTTATGTATGCCACAGCTCATATAAAATTACTGTTAGGCTGGGGACAGGTATCTCACACCTATAATCCTAACTATTCAGTTTGGGATGTAAGGATCAAGGTTCCACACTAGGCCTGGCAGGAAAGCCATCATACTCTTATCTCTAAAAAGCTATAAGTAGAGGTGTGGCTCAAATGTTAGAACACTAGCCTTGAGCCTAGGCCCTGAGTTCAAATCACAGGACAGGCACACAAAAAAAACAATTATGTTAGGCCCTGGTGGCTCACACCTGTAATCCTAGCTATTCAGGAGGCTGAGATCTGAGGATCACAGTTCGAAGCCAGCCAGGGCAGGAAAGTCCATGAGATTCTTATCTCAAATAAGCCACTAGAAAACCAGAAGTGGCACTGTGGCTCAAGCGGTAGAGAGCTCTCCTTAAGCTGAAGAGTACAGGGACAGCGCCCAAGCCCAGAGTTCAAACCCCACAACCGACAAAAAAATAATAATAATTATCCAACTGAGCAACCGATATTTACAAGTATTACATGGGATTTACACATTTTCTTACTTGGAAAGAAAAATAAATAGTATAAAATATCTGAGCTGGGCACTGGTGGCTCATTCATGTAATCCTATCTACTCAGAAGGCTTCGATCTGAGGACTGAGGTTCAAAGCTAGCCTAGGCAGGAAAGCTTGACTCTAATCTCCAATTAACCACCAGAAAACCTGAAGTGGAGCAATGGCTCAAAGTGATAGAGCACTAGCTTTGAGCGCAAAAACTCAGGAATAGCACCCAGGCCTTGAGTTCAAGCCCCATACCCAAAAAAAAAGAAGCCGCCAGATGCTGGTTACAGGTTACAGGCTCACACTTGTAATCCTAGCTACTCAGGAGGCTGAGATCTGAGGACTGTGGTTCAAGGCCAGAGTGGGAAGGAAAGGCCTCAAGTCCCTTATCTCCAATTAACAACCTAAAAACTGGAAGCGGTGCTATAGCTCAAATGGTGCTAGAGCACTCACTTTAAGCTGAAAAGCTGAGGGACAGCACCCAGGCTGAGTTCAAGTCCCACAACCAACAAAAGAAAAAAAAAAAAAGAAGAAAGAAAGAAAAAGAAAAATTCAAATTGTATCTATTTAAAAAAAAAAAAACTTTTCTTAAGCCGGCACTGGTAGCTCACGCCTGTAATCCTAGCTACTCAAGAGGCTGAGATCTGAGGATCATGGTTCAAAGCCAGCCCAGGCAGGAAAGACCATGAGACTCCTATCTCCAATAAACCACCAGAAAACCAGAAGTAGCACTGTAGCTCAAGTGGTAGAGCGCTCACCTTGAGCTGAAGAGCTGAGGGACAGTGCCCAGGCCCAGAGTTCAAGCCCCATGACTGACCAAAAAAAACAAACAAACAACTCTTCTTGGGGTTGGGAAGGTAGCTCACTGGTAGAGTGCTTGCTTTGCATGCATGAGGCCCTGGGTTCCATTCCTCAGCACCACATAAGCAGGAAAAAAAAATGGAAGTGGCGCTGTGGCTCAAGTGGTAGAGCACTAGCCTTGAGTTAAAGAGCTGAGGGACAGCGCCCAGGTCCAGAGTTCAGGCCCACCATCAACCAAAAACAAACAAACAAACAAAAAAAAACACCTTTTTTTGTGATGGGGATTCAATCCAGTCTCACTTATATTAAGTACTCTACTACTGAGCTACACCACTTAGCCCAAAATCTTTTTTTTTTTGGGGTTGGTCATGGGGCTTGAACTCTGGGCTTGGGCGCTGTCCCTGCGCTCTTCAGCTCAAGGTGAGCGCTCTACTGCTTGAGCCACAGTGCCACTTCCAGCCCAAAACCTTTTTTATATACCATGTAGAAAGTGAAACTATGCAAGTCAAGAAAAATAAATGCTTTCTTTAGATTCCTTAATGAAGCTGTCACTATTGTAAGTCCAGCTCTATGACATGTGACAGTCTTTTTGCCTAACATGAGTGAAGCCCTGGGTTTGATTCCTCAGTACCACATCAACAGAAAAAGCCAGAAGTAGAGTTGTAGCTCAAGTGGTAGAGTGCTAGCCTTGAGCAAAAGAAGCTCAGGGACAGTGCCAAGGCCCTAAATTCAAATCACAGGACTGGAGAAAAAAAAAAAGAGAATAATTGCAACTCAACCATTCATTTAATCAAGTAAAGTGCAGGACCAAACAAAATGAGATTCTCATCTCCAATTAACTACCAATGTTAGCAGTGGAGATGTTCCTCAAATGGTAGAATGCTAGACTTGAGCAGCGATGACTAATGGATATCACCGAAGTACCAATAACAGCACCAATACCAGGAAAAAAAAAATTGTGCATAGTAATACAACACAGGAACTAAGAGATAAAGGGTGTTAGGACTAAGAAATAAACTCAAAAAGAACCATGATTCTGAAGCACATGTCACAAAAGAACAATTTAGGGAATTCAAGTATGATTAGCCTAAACTTAAGGGTAAGACAGATACCATCCACAGTGATGATGGTTTATTTTGTGTCATGTTGGTGTTTTGCATAAGATTAACATTTTTTATGTTTTTTTTTATTATCTTTAAGTAGTTGCACAAATAATTTCCCATTCTACAAAACAGAATACGAGAACAAAAAGTCTGACATTGTCACCCACCTCTCTTTTTTTTTGCTTCTTTTCTTTTTCAAATTAAATCTTTTTTTATTATATTTTATTTTATTTGTGAAGATACTGTACAGAGGGGTTACAATTACATGGGCAGGATAATGCGTACATTTCACCTACCTCTCTTAATCCATCTCTCCACTCATAAGATTAACATTTGAGACATTAACAGTGATAACATTATGATTTAACAATAAGCAGATTATCAAAATTTCAATCACATCCTTGTGTGACTCTGAGCAAAGAACCCCAATCATTTCTGTAGGATAAAAATCCTATAAAGGGCTGGGAAGGTGGCTCAGTGGTAGAGCGCTTGCCTTGTATACCTGAGGCCCTGGGTTCGATTCCTCAGCACCACATAAGCAAAAAGAAAAAAGCTGGAAGTGGCGCTGTGGCTCAAGTGGTAGAGCACTAGCCTTGAGCTGAAGAGCTGAAGGACAGCGCCCAGGCCCAGAGTTCAGGCCCCATGACCGGCCCCCCCCCCCAAAAAAAAAAATCCTATAGAAACTGTTAAAGTGGGTTTATTCGTGGTATTTGCTACACAGCAATAGAAACGAATACAAGTCCCATTTCCCTTTAAAAGAAACTGCTTCTCTAACCCTATATTGAAAAGGAAGAGAAGCAAACTTGAAAGGGGGAAGCAAACTTGAAAGGTTTTTTATGATCTCTAACTCACTCTTCCCAGGAGTTGGGCTAAAAAGGGCAAAGTAATTATCCATTTACTGCTCACATCACAGTATCTGTTTTGCAACACAATTTGCCAAAATACCATTTTTCTGAAAATCATGAACTGAAACAGGTTTTTCATTTTCAATTGCAGAAAGTTACTTTGATAACTATGAAAAACTAAAATAACAAAAACCGCAATGAAGCCGGGCGCCGGTGGCTCACGCCTGTAATCCCAGCTACTCAGGAGGCTGAGATCTAAGGATCACGGTTCGAAGCCAGCCTGAGCAGGAAAGTCCGTGAGACTCTTCTCTCCAATTAACCACTCAGAAAACCGGAAGTGGCGCAATGGCTCAAGTGGTAGAGCACCAGCTTTGAGCTGAAGAGTTGAAGGACAGCGCCCAAACCCAGAGTTCAAGCCCCATGACCGACAAAAAGGAAAAACACACATACACACACACCAAGTGTTGTCTAGGCTCCTTAATGTCAGCTACAGTAGTCACATAGCATGGAAACACCGACCTCCCGGCTAATCTCAGAAATGAGCACAAGGTCATAGTTCCTGTCCTTCCTCAAGTACCGGGAGTGTAAATTTGATCAACATCAACAATAAAAAAAAAACTTCCCTTTTTAGAGTCAGAGCTGTTCTCAGCTACGAAAAGGACGTCAACCTCGTTTAATCATAACCCTGACCCCTAAATTTCGGCCTCTCGGGCTGCCCAAGCACCGGCTTACTAAAGATGCAATAAATTACGGCCTCGCGTGGCCTGCTGGGAATTGTAGTTCTCCCGCCTCGACCTTCACGATTGGAAACCTACCACGCGCCCAACCGGCAGCTTGGACGCCAACAGCCAGGATTGGTTGTCTACTGGGGCAGCGCGGTGCTGATTGGATGACAAACCCGAAGCCGCGCCTCGGCCCCGCGCCCACCTCCCCGCTACCTCTCTCCACACCCCAACCCGCCTCAGCCACAACCCTCGGGTCTACGGACAAGCTCCCCCGTGAGGTGCCTCCCTGTCCTGCCCGAGACATGCCCGTTACACCTGTGTCCTAGAAACTAGGCACCATTAAATCTCCACTCCGCCCCTCGTTTTCTGTAGTCTGTTTCGAGTCAGCTTTCTCATGCCCCACTTCGGGAGCCCCCACGCTCACCTGGGCAGCGGCAGTCACGCCGGATAACTGACAGGCCCGCAGCATCTCGGCCGAATAGACGGGCGTTGCTGGTGTACGCGGGAGCAGCCGCGGCGGCACGAGTAAAGGAGGGCGCGCACGCGTGCGTGCGTGCGTGTGTGCGTGCCCGCGTCCTTACCGCTTCTCCGTGCCCAGCGCACCGGAAGGACAGCCAACGCCAATGCGCACGCGCAGCCCTCTTATCGTCCGGATAGTGCTAGTCTGAAAGGGTAGGTCCCGCCCTGGCTGCGGAATCGATCATTCTCCTTCCGGGTCGCGGTCGGGCTTCCGGTCCGTGGCCCGAACCCGGGGTTACTAGGTGAACTGCACTTGAGCGTGGGGGAGAGAGGAGCTGCTGGCTTGGGAAATTTCGTCTTCAACCTCACGTTCAAAGTCGGCGAAGGGAACTTTTAGGAGAACTCAAGCGAGAAGGCTTCTCACGTCGGGATATGTTGTAGGAAATAGTAACTTGGCTAAGTTACCCCTTTGCTCGTTTTTCCCTGGCTCAGCTGGTTGCTGGAGACTGAGCGCCAGAGCTTGTCATTCATGGAACTAATGGAGCACCGACAGAAACCCAGGCTCTGTGGACTCCACGGCTTCCACTCCTTCCAGATTAAACCAGATGGCTTTCTCCGTACTTTTTTTTTTTTGAAAGATAGTTTTTGCAAAGGAGGGGGTAACCATGCTCGATAGGAAATGTACTCCTTATCTTACTCGTGTGATTAACCCTTCTGTACAGTTTTTTGTTTGTTTGTTTGTTTTTGGGTCGGTTGTGGGGCCTGAACTCTGGGCCTGGGCGCTGTCCCTCAGCTCTTCAGCTCAAGGCTAGCGCTCTACCACTTGAGCTACAGCGCCACTTCCGTTTTTTTTTCTGCTTATGTGGTGCTGAGGAATCGAACGCAGGGTCTCAATGCATGTGAGGCAAGCGCTCTACCACTGAGCCACCTTCCCAGCCCTGTACAGTATTTCTGTAATAAAAAAGCATATATAAAAAAGACTTTTAAAAAAAGGATAGTTTTTCCCCCGCCTGTGAGAGGATTTGGAGCATAAGAACAGTCATTGCAGAAACTCATTATAAATTCACCACTGAATCAATAAACATTTTAAATATTAATCATGCATTAGTACTCTGCGATCGAGTCCAGTATAACAATATTGTTAGTATCCTATAATTAAATAGTTGGTATGTTTTCTGCTTGTAAAGTACTTTCAAGTCCTAACTAGGTAATTTATTACGATGTGCTATTCTCTCCATAGAATATCTCCTTTGTAAAACGGAAAAATAACCTAAAATCACTTATGTGGGAGTATGTTCATTGCTTTTCAACGTACTTTAGAATTACTTGACAATCTTATTTAATATCTATCAACAGCTTCTACAATAGTTTTTTTGTTTTGGTTTTTAGTCAGTCATGGGACTTGAACTCAGCTCTTCTGCTCAAGGCTAGTGCTTTACCACTTGAGCCACAGCACCTCTTCCGGTTTTCTGGTGATTAATTGGAAATAAAGAGTTTCACGGACTTTCCTGCCCGGGCTGGCTTTGAACCGCGATCCTCAGATCTCAGCCTCCTGAGTAGCTAGAATTACAGGCGTAGGGTGCCAGTGCCGGGCTTAGTCTCCTAGCCACATATTCAGCTTATTTTGGTTTGTATTTTGTTTTTGAGATAGGGTCTAACTGTCCTTTAACTCAGTATCTTCTTGTCTCTACTTCTAAGTAGCTGGGATTACAGACATATATCACCACACGTCTTCATTTTTCTTTTTAAGTATGTACTGTTAGTGTTATGCTCACCTTTGGTCCTCAGCTCCACCCAGACCTGGGCCCCCCTCCTATCCTGGAGTTCCCTCCATACAGTTGGCCCCTCACTCTCTCTGCCCAGACCCACCTGAACTCCCATCTACCTCACTTCCTATCCCTCAGCCCCTCCTGCTATCTGGATGATAACAGAGGCCATGTGCTCCCTCTAATAAACCTTATAATAATCTTTCTCCTGTGCCTGCCTCTGAGTGGTCCCCTGGGATGGATGTGTCTGATCTTTCATGTACTATGCTTAGGGATGTATTTCTGTGGTGAATAGCTGGCTCCACACTCAAGAGGCACCCTGGATTCAGTACCCAGCACTAAAAATGAAACAAACAAAAAAAAAAAAAACTGTGTGCATACAATAGCCTTAGAATACTTATATTAATTTTAGTTGGCATGAAGCGGTTTTTTTTTCTCCAAAAGGACTTTAAATATTGCGATATCCCCCATTTATTTATCCTAATGTCTTCCAGGTCTTTTTGTGCAAGATAACAAAAATGAACTTCATAAAAAGAGCAAGAAGTTGTTTCAATTATGTGATGTGCTTTAAATAAAATTTTCATTTTACAAACTCAGAACATTTTTGAGAAGCCAAGCTCTGCAACTGACACCCAGTAATCTCAAGTTATTCTCCTGGTTAAGACAGAAGCTCACTTGAGACCAATCGTTCCAAGCAATAGAGGTGACCTCATCGTATAAAAAGAAATTAAAAAAAAATTGGGGTGGGGTGGGAGGGTAGAGGGCTGGGAACATGGCTTAGTAAAGTGCTTGCCTAGCATGCATGAAGACACGGGTTCGATTCCCCAGCACCACATAAACAGAAAAGGCTAGAAGTGGCACTGTGGCTCAAGTGGTAGAGTGCTAGCCTTGAACAAAAGAAGCTCAGGGACAGCGCCCAAGCCCTGAGTTCAAGCCTCAGGATTGGCAAAGAGAAACAAAGAAAGAAAGAAAGAAAAGAGAGGAAGGAAGGAAGAGACAGACATTCCGGGGACCACAATACGCTGTTTAAGGACAGTAGGCCTTCAATAGACATGGGGTTGGCCACGCCTGGTTTCCGCGCCCTTTGTGCTCCTTCCGCCGGCTGGCGGCTCCTTCCGGGCTGCCGCGTCCCCGGCGGCCGCCGTAGGCGAGCGTGCTGTCATGGCCGCCTCCGTCCTCGCGGGCGCGCGGAGAGCTGCTTCAGGTCAGTGGGGAGCGACTGTTCCATGTGTGAACTGGCCCTCGTGGGGCGGGCGTTTAGTCTGGAGGTTAACAGGAAAAGCAGGGTCGTCATTGCAGGTTATGGCTGCTCAGAGTTTTCTCCGGGGCGGCCGCCATCTAGCCTCGGTCCCGGCCCGGCGCCGGCGGAGCTCCGTGCTCCGCGATCCGCCCTGGGTCCCGCGGCCCTCCCTGGCTTGCCTCGGCCCTCCCTGGCTTTCCTGCTCTCCCCTGGCTTCCTGCAACCCTCCCTCGCTTGCCGCTGGCTTTCCTGCTCCTGCTTCTCCGGAGAATGGACCCGAGTAACCGGCTGAAAGCGCGTCGCCGGGGGTAACACAAAACTCCACCTTTTGAATTTAAGAGAGTAGGACCTTGACCTTGAAGGATTAATGTATGTGTATGTGAAGGGTGTGTGTGTGTGTGTTTCTTTTTGAATGTCCATTAACTTAACTTGATTTTGATTCTACAGTTGTAAAGTGAAGATGGTACCACCTACCAGGTGAATAAATGAACTCAAGTGTGCAAGGCATCCTGTGTGTGATGCCTGCCAAGTACACAGCTTGTATAGCCATCAGGGATTGTGGCTCAACGTGTCTTGAACTATAATTCTCAATACGCGGTGGGCAGATTGAGCGTGCCCGTGTTCTGGTACTTGAACTGGAGCACTGGCCTGGGCACTGCCCCTGAGTTCTTTTGCTCAAGGCTAGCCCTTCACCAGTTGAGCCATACCTCCACTTCTGGTGGGGCTTTTTTTGTGGTTAATTGGAGATAAGAATCTCAAAGACTTTACTGCCTCAGCTAGCTTCAGATCTCACCCTCCAGAGTAGCTAGGATTACAAGCATGAGCCACCAGCGCCCTGCTTTAAATGGTTGGTTATTTATTTAGACTAGGCCGTCATCTCAGTATCTGACACTTTTGTTCATTGCCTGGCGCTCTACCGCCTGAGCCATGCCTCCTATCCCTTGAATTATTTCTTGATACAGGGGTGAAGGCAGGACTTGTAGCAAAAGTTAAAAATCATTTAAATGTGATGAAAGTATCAGCAAGTTAGTCTCACTCAAAACATTAGTTAGGATATAATTATGTGGGATAAAAATGGGAGATCAAGAAGAAACAAGGCAACTATAAAAATGTCGAGGTGTTAGAGAAAAGCTTTTTTTTTAAAACATGGATTATGTTTTGAGTATGTATGAAGTGTAACTGTTAAGAAAAACATACATGAACAGTTTTAACAACTCTGCTAAAGCAAACATTTGTATAACTAATATTAGGTTAAAACAAGTCCTTTCTCCACCCCTGTGAGTTTCCTCAAATCAAAATTACCTTTTCCCAAACATAATTTCTCTGAATTTTTAGACTTCATACTTAATTATTACCTTGATTATTTTTCTTGTAGTAACTTTAGCATTCATATGTGCATCCCTCAGCATACTGCTATTTTTGTCTGGTTTGGGACTTTTATTACTAGAACTGAAATCAAATAGTTTGTGCTGTAGTGTCCGGCTTCTTTTACTTTATAAGATTTATTAATTTTGTATGTAGCTGTAATGTCTGCTTTTCTCCCCCCATACCCCTTCTTGGACTTAACTTTAGGACCTTGAGCTCTCGCTTGCTTTTTGTTTCAAAGCTGGAGTTCTTATTTGTATTTTTAATTACATTATCTTTATGTAGTTGTACAACAGAGCTGCCATTTAACAAAGCAGTTTAGTATGAATACAGTGCATCTTGATCAGTATCACCCCTTTCATCTTTCTCATCATCCCTCCCAACCCATCCTTGAAGCAGGAGTTCAATCCCTTGAGGACACCTTCACTTCTAGCTTTTTGCTGGTCAGTTGGAGATACGTCTTACCCAATGGACAGTAAAAGACTAATAATTACACCTGGACATAATTGATTAAACAGCAAACTAAACATTCACACAGAATAAAGGAGGATTTTCTTTTTTCTCTCTCTTTTTCCCCAGTCTTAGGGCTTGAACAAAGGGCCTGGGCACTGTCCCTGAGCCTCTTTGTGTTCAAGGTGAGCACTCTACCTCTTGAGCCATAGGCACTCTACCTCTTGAGCCATAGCCCTAGTTCTGGCTTTTTCTGTGATTGTGGTACTGAGGAATTGAACCCAGGGCTTCATGCATGCTAGGCAAGCACTCTACTACTAGGCCATATTCACAGCCCAAAAGGAGGATTTTCTTAGGATCACAAGGGCTCAATAGCTGTGTGTTAAGATTATATAAAATGATGCTTATTGAATTCCAAGAACCAGAAGTAAGAGGTCTTTTATTATACTGTTTGTGTTTTTTTTTCTCCTTTTTTAAAAAATTTATTCCCTTCTGTCACTTTTTTTTTTTTTTGGTCTGGTCATGGGGCCTGAACTCTGGGCCTGGACACTGTCCCTCAGCTCTTCAGCTCAAGGCTAGCGCTCTACCACTTGAGCCACAGCGCCACTTCCGTTTTTTTTTTCTTTTCTGCTTATGTGGTACTGAGGAATCAAACCCAGGGCCTCATGCATGCAAGGCAAGCGCTCTGCCACTGAGCCACCTTCCCAGTCCACTTTTTTATTCTGTACTCTTTGTCGTGTATATAAGTATCTGAGATAGAGTACTTGCCTAGCATTCATAGAGCCCTGGGTTCTATTCCTCAGCACCACATACACAGAAAAAGCCAAAAGTAGTACTGTGGCTCAAGTGGTAAGAGTGCCAGCCTTGAGCAAAAGAGGCTCAAGGACAGTGCCCAGGCCCTGAGTTCAAAGAGTATCTGATTTGGGAAAAGGAAGGGGAAGCACAGAAGAGGGACAAAGAGTAAACCAATTCAGCAGTGAAATCCACTAGACACTATGTTGGAAAGGAACTATACAACTTTGGGGGGAGGGAAAGTTGGGAGAGGAAAAGCTGGGAGAAAATGAGGGAGGGAGTGACACTGTTCAAAAGGAACTGTACTCATTACCTCAATCATGTAACTATAACCCCTCTGTTCATCAACTTTACAATTTTTTTTTTAAGGCTTTGAGGTTTTTGGTGGGATTTTTGTTGTTGTTTTGTTTTGTTTTTTGGTCGGTTGTGGGTCTTGAAGTCGGCCTGGGCGCTGTCTCTTCAGCTCAAGGCTAGCACTCTACCACTTGAGGCACAGCGCCACTTCCGGTTTTCTAGTGGTTTTGGTTTATTGGAGATAAGAGTCTCACAGACATTCCTGCCCGGGCTGGCTTTGAACCATGATCCTCAATCTCAGCCTCCTGAGTAGCTAGGATTATAGGCATGAGCCACCAGGGCCTAGCTTGTGTTTGTTTGGTGGTAGTCGTGGGGTGTGGTGGTGGTGGTGGTGTGTGAGTGTGTGTGTGTGTGTGTGTGTGTGTGTGTGTGTGTGTCCATCCCTGAGCTTTTTT